AAACAGAATAAAAAAAAATAAAATATATAAAAAGGAAAAAAATAAACGTAAGCCAAGCCATGGCCTGGCAAGGACGAACGGCAAAGGAATTCAATCTTTCAGGCTGAATGTTATCTTCTCGACTTCGAACCGCAGTCGAGTCCGGTGCAGCTGTATGCGTAGCTCAGGTCATTAGATTTATGTTACCAAAGGACTCCCGGCCAGGCAACCGAACATCAATTACAACGACAACAGCATCTCAACCGGGCCGGACCCGGGTCGGAGGCGGCCAGAGGGAGCTGCGACTCAGTGGAGCGGCAGTAACGAGAAAGAAAACCCAATAAAATGTCAAATCCAATTGGCAAGCACACACACACACACACACGTACTCACACTCACACACACACGCGCAGACAGACACAGCATGGATATCGTATAAACGTAGTTTGCAAAGTATATCAAACTGTTTGACAGCGAGCATGGACAGTGCTGTGTGGCATGGAGCCGCCGACGGGTGCCGCTGCCAGCCACATGGAGTGCAAAAAGCGACGCTGCAAACACTCGATTACAATCAAAAGTGACAGCGATTCGCTGCGTTTCGCCACTGAATTTATTGAGATAAACGAAGAACCGAGTGCCCAGAGCACACAGCCAAGAGCTGAGCATCGAAGGCGGACCTCTCCATGGAACTGGAGCTATGAATGGAGCTGTTGCTGCAGCTACCGCTGTCCATTGCCTTTTTTACAATGACGAATCTCGTTTCCTCCCCAACTGCTTCCTCTTCATCTGCTTTTTTGGTGGACTGAAGTGTGCGCCAAGAGCTGTTAGGCAACTATGTTGATTATGACCAGGTATGAATTGGTCCAAATTGATAGCGAAGTGAATTTAGTTTGACTATATAAAATAGTCAGACTTGATGGAGTAGATTAGACTAGATAGACTAGTTTATCTAGCTACATAGAGTAGATTAGACTAGATAAATATAGATGAACTAGATCGACTAGGTAGACTAGATAGACTAAAATAGACTAGATCGGAATAGATAAACTAGATAGACTAGATAGACTAGATACATTAGATGAACCTTATCGGCTAGATAGACTAGTTAAGCTAGATAGACTAACTAATTAACTAAATATAGATAAACTAGATTGAGTAGATAGACTAGATAGACTAGATAGACTAGATAGAATAGATAGACTAGATAGACTAGATGGACTAGATAGACTAGGTAGACTAGATAGAATAGATGGACTAAAATAGACTAGATCGGAATAGATAAACTAGATAGACTAGATACATTATATGAACCTTATCGGCTCGATAGACTAGTTAAGCTAGATAGACTAGATAAATATAGATAAACTAGATGGACTAGATAGACTAGATAAACTACGTAGACTAGATAGACTAGATAGCCTAGATAGGGTAGATAGACTAGATAGCCTAGATGGAATAGATAAAACTTGATAGGGTAGATTATACTAGATAGGATAGATAGACTAAATAGACTACAAAGAGTAGATTCGACTAAATAGACTAGATAGGCCAGATAGACTAAATAAATTAGATAGGCTAGATCGACTGGATGGACTAGATAGTCTGGGTTGAGTATATAAGACCAGAAAGACTAAAAAGACTAAATAGACTATATAGAATAGATCGAAAAAGAAAGATTTGTAGATGATAAAATACGCCTGAAGGTCCATGTAGAAGAGACTGATAATCAGCTAAAAGCTCTTTAGGTTTGAAGACTGAGAATCAGTTTAGGCACATTGAGACTTGAAAACTGGGCATTAGTTCATAGTTTCTCAGTCCAAGGGCCAAGTCTGCTTCAAGTCTAGGAAACCAAATTAAGTCTACCCAAGAGCTCACCACATTCATATAAAGAGTCTGGACTCTCTAGAGTCTTTAGGGAGAGGTTCTCGAAGGAGTCACTTTAAAGATTTTTCTCTCTCTTCCTGTTTGCCTCTGGCTGGCCAATTTCATGGTTTACAAAATAATTTGCAAATCCAGCTCTGACAGCATCAGCTATCTATGATATATAAATTACAATATCTGAAACAATTTTCTAAGCTGTCAATTCAAAGAATCAATTCAAGTGCCATCTCTATAGTCCGGCACAGCGGAAGTAATTTGTGCGCCCAAAAGAGCTGAAGTCCAGCGCTGAGGTGTAGTTCCAGTGAGTTTTTTGCCTTTGCTCTGCACTGTCTGGCACTAAAATTGATTTGTTATCCTACATATGTCTCACACACACACACACACACACGCACAAGAACCAGGAGCATTGGTAGAGGCACTCACATATATCATTTGCCAAACGGTGTCCGCGCCAACTCGTTTCTGTTTGTTTTACAACCGCAAAAAAAATGTGGAAAAAGTGGAAAATAGTAGCAAAAAGTAGAGGGAAAATGTGAGCAGAATGAAACGTGTTCTCACACTGAATTTCCATTTGGCAAATGCTGCTTCTTCTTCTACTTTTTCTTCCACTCAGTGGCATTGTCGTCTCACTCGAGTGGAAATAACAACGCTTATAGACAACAAATTGCGCTCATTGTTCAGCTTCCTCTGCGTCCACTCCCATCTCCATCTCCATCTCTATCTGCATCTCGGCTCTCCTCTTTATCTGTTCAATTTATTATTCGCTTAACTTTCGAATAACTGAAAAATATTCACAATTTGTTATCACATATGATTGCACTGGCTCCCGATATAATACATTCCGAGTTGAGTTTGTATTATGCAAATGCCGAGCATATTAACTGAATCTACATAATTATTGAAGATAGCTCAACTGGAATATTCTCGGATTTTGCTATGCATAACAATTCCAATCAGTAGCTGGATAATGTATCAATTTTAGAGGGGAAGGAAAGAGAGAGAGAGAGAGAAAGAGTGAGAGAGGAAGCTTAATATGCATAATATGCAGAAATTTATAGTTGAGCTGAGCTCTTGGGTATTGCGCTTCATCAGAATAGTGTGCCCCTCATCGTCCTCCATTAATGTTGAACATTTTGTATATCATTCAAGCTATGCTCATTCACGTCAATGATATGAGCATATTGGTTTTGTGCTGTCTTCGCCAGACCGGAAATTTAGAATATATGTACATGGTAAACCTTCTCTACACCCAATGGGTGCATTCAGTCCCTTCCAGTATATCAGAAACCAGTTGAGATTTGGAGTACTCACGCTGATAATTCAAGACTGAAAAGATTTGACGGATGATATACGCCCATTTTAAGGAGTAACAAGCGACACTAGAATCCTACAAATTAAACAATTGAGTTATTGTTCTCCAATTTATCACCGACGATTTATCTTAACTTATCTTGCGAAGCGCGTCGAATCGAAAAATATCCTGTAACTTAAAACGTTTTTTAAAGTGAAGGACCAACAGTTATATTTTCACGCCCAGTTTAATTACAGTTGTCTTCTTTAAAATCGCAAATTATAATAATCAAATATTTTTCCTGCAATATTTTCAGATTTTGAATGAGTATTCTGCAGTGAGTAGCACTCGTCTGCTACTTTCTTACTTGCTTTATTTTGTATAAATTTTTTTATTAAGAACACAGACATTTAATTATAATTCATTACGTATATTTCCATATAAGTCATATATGTATGTATGT